GCCTCCTGAGTCAATCTCCGGTCGCGAAAGAGGAAGGTGAACTTGCAAGTATCCTGAAAGGAACATCTTCAGCTTGTCGAACACGCCCGCTACCGTTGACCCTGGAGTTAGTCTATTGGCTCTGTCTGCTGATGATCCCTCGCACGGGGTTTGAAAAGATGAGGATTCCCATTCCTAGCCTCCACACAATACCTACCCGTCATAGGGCTGTTCTATTATAATGAAATAGGTCGACAGCAGCAGATTTTTCTCCAAAGAATCATCATCTTTGAGTTCAACAAACTATATGTCGCTAATTGCAGGCAACACTTCATTTTCCCACAACGGTTTAATCATTACTTATGATATATCTAAGAACAAGGTCTTTTAGACATATGCCGGCAGAGATCATGCCGACCTCATCTAATTTCCTACGTTTTTGATAATTCAGTAAGTTAATAAAACTACTATAATATTTTATTTAACCAATATCACAACACGATATTTGTAATTTACTACGAAACCTTACCATGCTTGAAGCTATCAATAGCACCAGCATGATAATCTTCTTAGGCTCATTAGTCCTCAACTTCTAAAAAATGGCTAATTTGTGAACATCATAAATATCACATGTTTGCCTACACATCCATCAGCCTAGTTGAGACCCAAATGATCTGAACCCTATATTATGCGGTGCATCCAAATCTATAAATCTCTCTCTCTCTCTCTCTCTCTCTCTCTCTCTCTCTCTCTCTCTCTCTCTCCCCTCCCCCCCCCCCCCACCCCTTACCTATCTGTATGTAAATTATTATGAAGAAGAGACTCTGCATTGATATCATAACGGGTCCATACCTTTTACAGACATTATTCTAAGCTTCAGTCTAATGAGGAGTTTAATAAGAGTGCTGATTCATTCTAAGCTTCAGTCGCCGACCCACTAGGTTCCTTGAGAAACCTAATCTGACAGGAGACCCATTAAATCACTAATCAGACTCCTCTATGGGGAAACCCGCAAGGTTTCTCAACGGTCCAGAGCTTTTGGAAGTGGTCTCGCTTGGCTCCGCTGGCCGCAGCAAGGCCTCGATTGGACTCAACAACTTGTCGAAGCGTTGCCAGGCGTTCCCTTCGCCATCGACGAACTGGGATGAAACGTCAGGAGGCAAAACGCTGCCGGCGGGAGCTCCAGCCTGCGGCAGGCAGGCGCTCCACGACGACGAGCCGCCGTCTTTTTCAACCTCGCCGCTTCAGATGCCTTTCCTTGGACAGCGGTGGGTAATGAGGACAATGCAAACAGACCGGTCCGTTAAGAGACAAGATCCGCCTACATACAGATTACTGTAGAACCCTTGTTAAGATACAAGAACCACATGATTGGCAACATAAATATTTAGCAAAAGGAATTAGTTTTCTGTTCTTCCTATTGACGTGACAAAGTAAAGACGAGGGGCCACGGGCTATTCGCCTCCAGCGGGCCGACGTCAGCGCGGTTGAGCCGTCCAAATCATCAGCCAACCATGCGTGCGAGGGCACAGCGGCTTTCCGGCCTGCATCTGCAAGGCGAAGCTCCTTCCCACAGATCCTGTTCACCGTGGGTCAGCCCCAACTCTCCGTTATTTTACCCCCTCTGGAGTCCGGCCTTATCCGTTGACTACCAGAAAGGAATATCCGTTCGTTGGGTATGAACTCCCGTCGGCCCTGCCCTGCGACTCCAACTGGAAGAGACCCACCAACCAACATAGTGTTTCTAATAAAGTCGATCACACCGACGAGGAAGGAGGTACGTCATTCTCTCCTTTTTCTTTTGTTCATCGTGGCCACTCTATCTCTCTCTCTCTCATTGTGCAAAGGCAGCGACTCGATCATCTTGGGAATCAATAATCGAAGGTGCCCTTGGGGCGACGACGGGCTAACACACGTCGAGATGAGGGAGACACTGCAGATTAGGTTGGCTGAAGCTGTACCCAGTCGTCTTACAGGTTTCAGGGCTTCTATAGAAATCTCGAACGCATGTAAGATGAAGAGGAGAAGGAAGAAACGTCGACCTTGATGGAGATTCCAATTTCACCGAGCAATATATAAATCCAACGGCCACCAGAGAATATTAGGAGGTCCTCTTTTTATGGTTGGATCAAACAGCGAATCTCCGAGTGTTTTTAATTTTGACTCTCTCTCTCTCTGAGATATTCCTAAACTATGTAGGATGCAAGAGTGCCAGCCATCATTCCCTACAAATGGAACGGAGGGATCCATGTGATCGGAAGAGCCCCGGGGGGGGCGGGATGGGGTGGAGCGGGGAGAGAGTGAGGATAATAGAGGCACGAGGAGGAGACCCTAATTTAGGACGTGGCAAAACGGGTCGTTTAAGGGCAGTACTCGAATACCTTGTGGATGACCCGCACTCTTATTTCCAGTCATGCATAAGTTTGGAGAACTTAAGCATCCCAATAAATATCGCTCAAGCAGCATCTTTAGCTTAGTTCAATCGATTACTCTCAGTTTCGAGAAGACGAACCCGTTCGTTCATTCACGGCCGCCTCACAGCTCATCAATGGCTTGAGCAGCGCAACAGGATAGAGAGAGAGAGAGAGAGAGAGAGGAGTCTTGATGGCCCAGACCCTCTGCGTGAGATTGAATGGCCATTGATGGGGAACAGAAGCCGTAAGTCTTTTTCAACTGTGAGGAATCCAAGGCCGCTACCAAGGATCATATTAAGGCTACTGATGAGTATTTCGGCGCCATGCATTTATTCTCGTAAGGCTCTTCATTAATTGGCAGACCCAGTTAAAAGAGAAAAATATATATTTATTATTTCTGATTTGATTCCGTTCAAACCCCCGATACGATTGACCACGTCCTGAATTGATTGCCGAAATTGGGATATCATCGTCCATTTTAGTCCATAGTTCATCACACGAGGGTCTCCAAGGCCCTGTCATAAGCTCAGACATCAATCAAGCTCAGACCCCTATGAAAAAATCTACGCCCAGTTGACAATCACTTCCAGAGAGAGGGAGGGAGGGAGGGAGGGGGAGAGAGAGAGAGAGAGAGAGAGAGTAACACGTGGCGGGAGGAAAGGGGCCTCTGATGATATTGAATAGCCTGTCTACTGAATAGTAAATTTATTGATAGTGATATAAGATAACCAGTCGCCAGTAAAACAGAAGGATGGGGGGAGGGGGGGGGCGGTTTTCCTTTCACGTGCTCTCTCTATTTCAGGTGACTCGTCTGGGATAATGTCTCCACATGACGATTGTCGAAACGCAATGGAGTGCTATTTAATGGCTGTAAATGTCGATTATTCAATGCGATGGACTTGACCTGCACGCGGTCCTCCAAAGCTCTCCCCCCCCCCCCCTTCTCTCTCTCTCTCTCTATCCCATTTAATGTAGAAATGAGAAAGTGGGCGCCTGCGCGACCCCCGTATGAGAGAGAGAGAGAGAGAGTTCATCAATTGAGTCCCCTGCCCGAGATCTTCAGGGCGGACATCACCCAGCCAACTTATAGAGAGAGAGAGAAGCGGTGGGGGGAGAGAAAAGGAAGGGAGGAAAAGAGTGAGAGATACGCAACAGTTGACAAAAGAGGAAAAGGAGAGATGGAATAGCGGCCAGTACACGAGCAAATCAGTAGAGAGAGAAAGGATGTCCAGATGGAGAGGCACTGATACACTTGTCCAAATCAGGAGAGGGAGTAGAGAGAGATAAACGGTGGAGAAGCCCCAGCAAACAGTGGAACCGGCCGGATCACATGAAGGCGACGCTGAGGTCATGAGTCGCACGGGGTGCAGAAAGCAAGCCCCGTCACGCAAGCAACCCTTAGAATGATTGTAAACCCCCCCCATCACCGCTTCACAAACCAGAGATATATATATATATCGAGAGAGGGAGAGAGAGAGAGAGAAAGGCTAAGAGAAAGGCTCCTCCGTAATCACATGCTCACATGCCCCTTCACATGCCCACCGTGAGCCCCCGTCCGCACTCCGGTCCACGTTATCATTTAATGTCCTCCTCCGCCCCCGGCTGTCTCTTCCGCTCCGGCTGGCACCGCGTACGGCGGTGCCGCCGCCCTGGCAGCGAGTCTCCCCAGCGGACGCCGACCCGCCCATGCAAAGGAATCATACGAAGAAGAAGACGAGTAGTCCGTCCATAGAGGGGACCGCCTCACGGTCGCCCGTCCCGCTCGAGTTGCACCAGCGGGGCGAGCTCCATTGAATGCCCCAATATCACCACGGAGAAGTAGCAGTAAACCCAGATCTTCACCTCTCTCTCTCTCTCTGGCGTCTGCAACCATCGGTGACGACAAGGACGTCTTCTTCCTCGCAGAGTCGGGGTGGAGGGCGGGGGGGAATTGACGGGGGGAGAGCCGGGAGGAGGACGAGGACGAGGGCGGGGAAAACGGGAGCACCGACAGGGTCAAGGTGGCAAGAGACGGCGTTGACCCACTGGGAGTCCTCCTGTGATCCCGGTCGGTGGTCCCCCTCTCTCGCTCTCGACTGTTCACTCAGACGACTTCCCCTCAGTTGCCTTTGACACGGGTAACTAAGGCTCCACATTCTCTGCCACGACGACGCCAGCTGGGCCCGGAAGAGGTGAGGGCTGGGGAGAGACAGCGAATCCAGCGAATCACAGCCGTGCGTTCAGTGGATTTTAGAAGAAATAAGTAAGAGGACCGACGGATGGTTTCGCCCCATTTCCGGGCCGGATTCCGACTTTGGGGACACGTGTCCCGACTGTGTGTACGGCATCCGTATTGGGAGTTGGCAGTGCCATCATTAAATGACTATATTACCCTCCTAAGATATCATTATTACATCATCCGCCCTCCCTCTCGTGCCGGCGGCGCCGTGCTCCTCCGCCTCCTCTTTCTTGCGTGCCACGCCGCCGCCCCCTTTTTTACTTTGGGCATTTTGTTTCCATTTCGGGGAAAATGTCTGCTGAGAGGGCCTGCCTCCCGCCACGTGTGCCACCGCGGGTGGGTCACGCCATCAATGCCTCTTCCCCACCGGGACCGATGATATCTCGAGCTCACGACGGCGGCTTCTCCAGGCGGCCAGCGGCCGGCAGCGTCCGGCGGAGGGACCTCGCGACCTCTGACATGGACGGCCGCACGCTGGGCTGCTCCGCAATGCACCTCGCCGCCAGTGCCGCCACCACGGCGGCCTCCGCCGCGTCGTAGGCGGCGCCCAGGCGGGGGTCCACCAGCTCCGGCACCCTCTTCCGGCCATCTTCCCCGGCCGCCGGCAGCGCTCCGGCCACCGCCACCGTGAGCATCAGCTCCTTCTCGGAGCAGAAAGCCTCGCCGCCGGTGAGGAGCTCCAGCAGGAGCACCCCGAAGCTGTATACGTCGCCTTTCTTGGAGACGACGCCGGTGCGGAGGTAGTGAGGGTCAATGTACCCCGGTGACCCCATCACCGTGGGGTGGTGACGCCGCTGGGCCACCGCCGACTCAAAGCCGGTGAGGGAGGAGCCGAAGTCGCAGAGCTTGCAGTCGAGGCAGCGGTCGAGGAGGACGTTGGAGGCCTTGAGGTCGCAGTGCACGATGGGGAGCCCGCAGCCGTCGTGGAGGTGCTCGACGGCCTGCGCCAGCTGCAGGGCGACGCTCATGCGGGCCGCCCAGGGGAGGACGAAGGCCCCGTCGCCGCCGTGAAGCTTCTCGTGGAGGGTTCCGTTGGGGACGTACTCCAGAACCAGAGCTCCATCCTCTGAGAGATTCGCATCACAGAAGAGGGGAGAAGGATTTCAGAAGAACGGCGAAGAAGACGATCCTGACGAATTAGGGCGAGGGAGTACGGGGGAGGGGAGAATGGAGATTTGGCGGGAGATTGTAGATGTAGAGAATTGGGGGAATTCTTGGATCGGGAGGTTTATTAGGTTTACCTCTGTCGTCGCAGTAGCCGAGGAGCCGGACGATGTGGGGGTGGCGAAGGCGGAGGAGAACTTCGAGCTCCTGGCGGAAGGCGCGATGGAGGCGCTCGCTGCCGCTGCCACTGCTGTGGACCTTGACGGCCCCGAGGGCCGCGGAAGAGACGGCGGCGGCGCCCAGCCGAGCGAGGTAGACGGTGCTGAAGCCGCCCTCCCCGATCACCGCCGTCGAGAACATCTCCGTCATCTCCTCCACCTCCTCCCACGCGAACTTTTGCACAGTCGAGAGAGCCGCGTCCGGCCGACCGTCGTCTTCTTCCTCTGGCTTCTTCGTCTCCTCCTCCCCTGTCACCTGCTTCTCCTCCTCTTCGGGGAGGTCTGGTCCATCCGCTACCCTCGCGCTCGTCTGACCCTTCTCCGGATCCCGTGGAGCCCTCTTCCCCGCCGGCGACGGCCACTTCCTCCGCCGCCATACGGCGGCGATCTTTCCGTCCTCGCCGCGCCGCTGGATCCTTACGTCGTACAAGCACACGACGGCAACTGCGACCGCTAAGAGAACTCCGGCGGCGATGCCAGCCGAAAGCGCCGCTGCAAGCATCCTCCCCGCCGCCTTCTCCGCTGCACTTCCCTCCTCCTCCTCCTCCGGAAACTCACCTCCGCCGCTGCTCCAACGCGGCCAGCCACCGCCCTTAGGGACGACGACGAGATGGAGAGAAAGAAGAGAGAGAGAGAGAGAGAGAGAGAGAAAGCAAGTATCTCTCCGCTCTCTTTCTCCCCCTTCTTATAGTGCAGAACAGGGAAGCCATTGGTCCTGCTCTAGGGGGCGGCCACACTGCAGGTTCAACCGGGACGATCATTACCATCGGCTCGAAATGGACGGTTGGTGATGAAATCCGCCACCTGGAAGTCAGAGAGTCCACCTGGCATCTGCGAATGGAAAACGTGATTCTCACCGGTGGGAAAGCGCGGGAGAACCCGAGCCCACTCGGATTGGGTCACCTACTGAGCTGACGTGGTGCAGCCGGATCGGAAACCGGGCTCGTGGCCCCCGCGTTGAACCGCCGGCCCGGGTTGCCTCGGACGAGGACGGCCTAACGGAGGGCGGACCGAGCGTCGTTATCTCTCGGCCGGCAGTTGAGGCACCAGTTCATGTCTGCTTAATTACACAAAAGTCCCACCCGCTAGCTATCTGCACGTTCAGAATTAGGCATAGGTCCCCAATTATAGGGGCATTTTGACAAATAAATAAATAACAGATGTTCTTTGTACTTGGTTTAGAAAGAAGGGGGGGTGGGCGAGGAAAGGTAGTTCTTGTATTCGTTGACGCGGGAGGATTAGCGTAGAGTCAAAGAGTCGGTGGTCAAACAAAAGGAAGGGGGGCTGGTCCAACGGGGCCGGTCTGACCCGGTCAGGAGCAGAAGGGAATTTCATGTATAGCTGTAGACGAACATGATTGTCGAAAGGGCCTCAAGATGTGTATATTTGTGCAGAGACCCCAGAGATTCTTAGATGAACGCTGATGCGGGGGCAAGACGGAAAAACGAGGATTTTACGCCGCCGGAGAGAAGATTCATGCGCCCTGGTGACGAAAAAATTTATGCGCTCTCTCTCTCTCTCTCTCTCTCTCTTGTTCTCTCGCTCTCTCTCTCTCTCTCTTGCTCTCTCGCTCTCGTCCTCTCTCTCTCTCTCTCTCTCTATCATAAGTTCATCAGGTAGAAGCCACCTCCCACAGTCCAAAAGGGTCCTGGGCATACTTTTGTCAACGACATTTAGAGAAGCACGTGAATTTAGGAATGTAGTGATATGGATATATGGCACCTTCTACATTTATATGATGATTTTTGTTAGAGTTTGAGCTGATTAATCTCTAAACTGTCAAATTATCATTCAAACCCCAAAATAGTAAAAGCTAATCTGACATTGACCACGTGCTTCTAAGGTCATAGTCACCGATTGAGTAATGATGTGCTTCTTTTTTCTCATCTTTAAGCTATGTAAATAATCTAAGTCTTTTTCTCCTCTTCTTGAAAATAAAAAATAAAGAGAAAATATTAAAAAAAAAACTCACGACTTGTGAGTAATCCAAGAGCTTGGCCTATTCACAAAGCTAAATAGTTTGAACGTTGATAGATGTATTTGATGCCCAGCTTATGACACAAAATGAAGATCTTAGGTTTTGTAAATGGGTCTACAATCTTTTATTTGGATATGTTGTAAGGATTGGAGTCTCTTTTATTAATTATAGTTTCTTCAATTAAATGATAATTAAATCCAATATTATCAGTCCTTTTATGAAAAACATGGTTGTTGGATTGCAATTAGCATCAAAATCTTACATGGGCGATTGATGTTGCAATCAATGGGTTTATGTTCCATAGTGTTTTTTCATTCTCCCCAAAGACACTAACTTGTGCCCAATTAATTACAATGCCTAGCAGTAAATGTTCTATTGGTTATTGATGTAACATAGCTATTATCTCCATAACATCCACATTTTTCATTTTTCTATTCATAAGACCCTTGCCAAGATAATTATCCTTGAATTGACATGTCATGGTGAAGGCAATACTATGGCTGGTTATTTTTTTTATAATTAAGTTTACCTGATTTTCTTATGTACTTTGCCTTGCCATTGAGTTCATTAATCACTTCATGGCCACAATGCAGCATTTTGTTTCCAAGAGGAATATCATGGGTACCATGCCACACATTCATGTCTTCTAACTTAAATCCATCATCCTTCATGTATGAAAAACAATATTGTGGTCCACACGAGCGACTACTATTCCTAAGAAGTCATTTTCCAAAAGAGTTTTACCAAAAACCCTTTTCTTTGGTTGTTTGGTATCTAAGAGCATATGATCAGCATATCACCAGCATAAACAACTTAGAGAAATATTCTAGAAATTTTTCACTAAATAATTACAAAGTGATCACAAAGATAACTTAACTCCATATCTGAACATAATCAAAAATCATAATCATTTAAGGAAATATTACTAATATTGAATATTTTCATCTATAAATTAAAACAGATTATAGTACATTCAAAACACATTATAAAAATGGTAAGATAACATTCAATAATAAAATTGACACCTCAAATAATTTTAATAACTAACATTTATAGTACAAACACATTATGATCTCAATATAATGATTCTTCCCTTAAGGCATATGCTGTTGAGGAGCATGTGGACATGGTTATGAAAAGTACAATTATTATTAATTCATTCTATAACCATTATGGTACTAGTACATGACATAAGCATAGTTTTATGTCTAGTTTTCATAAATGTTTTAAAAAGGAATATTTCAATTTTCATATGAAAATATCTAAGAATTGCTTTAGATCTCTTCATATGACAATTAAGGAAGATAACATAGAATTACTTCTTACTAAGCTATAAGTAAAATTGACTTCTCTCCTCCTCACGACCTTGGAAGAATGAGATCTATCTCGTCTAACCCTACAGCGAGGTGAAACTTGCAGCATTGAATGAAAATTTTCTTTTTTCAAAAAAAAAAAGTACATTTGACTTATATGGGCCGGGATGAATTGACTTAATATTACCTCTATCAGCTTTATAGGATTCCAACCCACCTAACATCTATTAAGACACTATCAATCATTCATTAGTTTTATAGGTTGTAGCTCACCAAACAAAAGTGTCGTTGAAGACAAGTGTAAATGAACTTCAAGTTTATGCTCATGACACTATTAGTATAGTTACTAAGCTATAAGTATAATATTAAATTCAATCATAGTATAAATGTATTTGTGTTGATTAATAGTTTATCTTGACATTATTCTAACTGATATTATTCTATTTTTCAATTAATTGGTGATTATGCATTAGTCATCATGTTTTAATGCATGAAAATTTACAATTTCTATAGTTGAGTCTTCTAAATAAATTTTAGTATTAGTATAAGTTCGAGTTGAACCTCAAGGATGGTGAGAATTAGTTTTAATAGGTTTCTAATTTTCTAACAAGGAATATGATACAAAAGAAAAGAATAAAAATGAAATGGGATGAGATGAGTGATGGAACTTTATCTTCTTACTTACAAGCCTCTTTTACCAATTATAACTCCATAGGTATGTTTCTCTTAACATCTTTAGATAAGATAAATGAGGGTTTTAATGATGAGGCTTAAATAAACAGAGGAAAATAATTTATAAATTATGATGAGAAAAGATGAAAAGGACAATTTTCAAAGAGTAGATTCTATTGACTTCGAGAATATTCAAGTGAAGATTTTAAATAAAATAAAATTAAATGAACTATAGAACTACATTGGTTGTCAATCAAGGATAAATAAATTCATGGTTAAAAAAAAAATAGACTCACTTATTTGTCAAGTAGTAGAATCCTTAGGAAACTTTTATTTAAAATATTAAATTTTAATTAAATATGAAAAATTCAAATATAAATATTTCCTTTCCTTCTTTGTCACCCAAGGATGAGAAAAGATAGTGCAATCAATTATTATTAAAATTTAATTAAATTCATAATGATGAAAACTTATAACAAAATTAAAGCTCTCCTTTCCTTCTGGTCATATAAGAAAATGAGAAGAACAAAACACTTGAGATTAAATAAATTCAAGAGAAGAGTCTTTCTTATCAATGTCAGACACTTAAAGAATAAAAATAAAATGAAATAACAATAATGAAAATTTAAATTACAAAGAACTCTATTGAACATAGTGAACTAGTTCTAAGATTCTCCTTGCTCTTCCCTTGCTCTTCAACTTTCTTCCTTGCTTAGGTCCATCCACCAACCAGCCAACCCCCGTTTTCCCCTCATTCCTCCATTTTATTGCTGTCAAGGGTCATGGCTTGATGACATCAACATCCTAACCTCCCACTCCATAACTACCTCTTATTTTAGCAAATATTTTTTTATATTCTTTTGACCCTTCTAGAAGCTCTCGCTTAATACACTTTTCATGGACTTGAATGAAGGCCTTCTAATGGGCTTTTTGTGGACTTGAATGAAGCCTCCTTTCATGCTCTAGTAGTTCTTCTCATGGAGTTAAGAGGAGCTTACAAAAATGGGTTGTTTCCTTGATCCTAAAATTCATATGATTCTTCTCAAAACTTTTGAGCCTTGGAAAATGCAACAAAACTCAAATAAAATAGGTTAAAATAAGAAACACAATATAAATAATATTTTTACTTTCACATTTTCATTTTAATACTTAAATAATATTTCCATAAAAAATCAATAGATATATTTAAGCATATGCTAATATGTTCATTCTTAATTTGACTTAGAAAAATCATCAAAAGTCATACAAAAATAAAATGTATAAATCACATTTTTCACCAATTCTATATCATTTTCATAACAATAATATGATATTTACACTATTTTTATTATACTTTGCATATGAAAATAGAACATTATCATTTGGCATCTCTCTCTAATTACTTTGTAGGTGCAAATCTTAGAGAAAATCTTCCTCTTAAATGTCTTAGTAGTAGCCAGTTTTTTTCTCTTTCTAAGAGCTTATAGGTTACGTAGACTTTTTGTAGTGTATGTGGATATTTCAACTTTCCCTATTCTCATATTTGATGGGGCATGAAGT